TTGAATATATTACAAGTTTGGCTGCACTCTGTGACCATTTATTTACGTGAAGCTCTAAAACTAAGAAAAAATCAAAGAAATGAATTCCTTATACAGAGTCTCCTGTCACTCTCCGGGTTTACACGGCAGAGTCGCACCGTCCCCTTGCGTCCGGTAGCGTAGGGGACCGTTTAAACAAGTCACAGCTCCATAGTATTGTAGCAACTGGACCCACCATTCATACAAAGTCTATGGCGTGAATCCATTTACATATGAAACATTAAGAGAAAACTGGAGAACACCCCAGCAACGATGATAAATGTCAGAACAGATTACACTAGTATTGTACAACATGCATTATATTTTGAATATTCGCCACGCCCTACGAACAAGGCCTCATCTGAATGATCAAACTGAAGGACGTAATCAAAAATTCATGCACACATTTGCTAACGAAAGCCAATCATGTACGCTTAAGTTCGTTATCTCAGCCATAAATGAGCTTTACCTCCAATCAGTCCAGTCATTTTCTCTCAATATTCTGGGAGGATAAAAACAGATGATTTTAAATAATGTTAACACTAAGTCTTAAGTACAGCATCTCTATAAACCGTGTTAACTGTGTCTATAGATGATCGACTGTGTTGATAAGAAGTACATTGCATAAACCAATTAATCGTTGATGAATGATTGATCAGATGATATGAAATGAACGACAGCTGCCACGAGAAGCCAATTCGCTCAAAGAGAGCACAAAACCAACTGTCCACTTCATTCAAAAAAATTCAGATCTGCTACAAAAAATTATACAGTGTTATTCATTCTTCAGAACTTGTTCGTATCGTGTTGATGGCGCTGCTGCTTGGCATCAAAAACACTGTAAATGAAAAACTTTTAAAATCAGCTTGACTAATTGTTGTCATGTAATTTCTGTCGTTGTGGCTGTACACATATGCTCCCGCCAATGCGTTCAGTGGAACGTCTCCTATTACCTTAAATGATGGTTGCCGGCAACTCGTCATTAATATTATCTGTCTAAAAACTTACAAAATGCTCGACTTCTGTGAATCCTTTGGACATGGATATGGGCCAGAATGCATTGGCAATAATAACGAGGGTTGGTTATCTGAACGGATTGCCGAAAAAACTACTCGCCGAAAAACACTCAAAAAGGGTGAACATAGGGGGTGGGGGGGGGCGTCGACTTGCATTCGTAATGCGCCTTCAACGGCGACAAACTGGATGAAGAAACCATGAAATCAGAAGAGTTTATGTACTTTTTGTCATCAAAGGCACAGTACTGGTATAAGTTTCAGAAGTTATTCATGAAACAATGCCACCGTTGGGAACAGTTAGTAACACGAAACAGAGCTAAACGCAACGGCTAAAAGTAATCGAAACTTACTACATATGGCCGTGTTCCAATCCAGAGCGGGACAGTAACGCGGCCAGATCTGCTTCCCGCCATACCAACGCCCAAACAGTGCTCTAAAGGCAGCAGAAGCTTCGTTTTGACTAAAACTCAAATGTTAAATCTTTTTAACTGAACAGCATGCAAAAATTATCATTTTAGAATTTGCAAGCAAATTTAACCTCACAATAACGAATGGGTACTCCAGAAGCTTCCAATTTAGAAAGAATCCTAGAAGTCACGTTGAGGTGAGAGACAATTTTTGGTGAAGCGGCC